CAGGATTTGTGCAAATTATTCTCCTGGAGCTGTCAGAGCACCCAAGAGAGCTCAGCCCTGTGTTCCTCCAGCCWGACACAATTGTTGTTCCATTCCCTGCCTTCCAAGCCTTGTTCTGAGTGTGGTGTTCATGGGATCATCCAGCTTTGGGATTTCATCTTTTCCATTTGAAAAGCAGAGCTCTGTTCCTGCAGTGCATCCTAAAGGGTGATGTGGGGTTGTTCCAAAGGGAAATGAAGGATTCCTGACCCCACAGGGAACAGGAACAAGGGCTGAGCCACAGCCTTGCTCAGGTGGCTTTGGGGAAATGAGAATTCCTAAATTTAGGCCATGGAATGGAAGAAAAGACACTGTTGTGGTCATTTATCTCCTTCCAAGAACTGTCTGATGTGCAGTTATGGTCCAAGGTCCCATCTGAGAGCAGGGCTGAGGAAATCCCTGCTGGGAGTGCCAGAACCACTGAGGCAGCCCAGGGAAGGTGGGTAAAGGCTGGAGATCCTGCAGAATGTGAGGATCTGTGAGGAATTCATCAGGATTCTGTAAGGAGCTCCTGCCCTGGGTGCACCTCAGGGGTGTTGGCTGCTGAAAACATCCTTTGGCCAAGTGAACAGAATGGTTTCCTAAACAGATTGAAAAAAGTCACTTCCTCAGTGACTCAGCTGTCTCCTCTGGTGAGGCTTTTGTCTTCAGGGTGACACCCTCAGTCTGGCAGAGCTCAGCACGGGAGGACCTGAAATTGTAATTTAAAGGGTGAAATATCCATAGGGGATGGAACTTTAGTCCTTTATTTTCGACTCTTCAGGAGCCCAGGATGAAGAGATGTGGGTAAATGTTACAGAGGAATGCTGAGGTTTTCCGTGTGTCAAGGTAAGGTGATTGGATTGTCACAGGGTGTGATCAGATGGAAAAGTCTCAGGAAATTCAGGAATTCTGATGGTTTTCTCCCTGAGGAACAGCAGCAGATTGTCCAGGGATGGATCATCCATCCTCCTGCCCGGTGGGATTGCTGTGCCAGGGGAGTTCAGCACCCACTGAACCCACACTGGGAAAGGGAGGATGAGAGGGATGAGCTTGGATCAATTGTGAGTGCAGAGTGAGAGGAAAAGGACGCCAGCAAATGTGAATAAACTGTAAAACTGGAGGAGAAAGAAAATCTAACTCTTGCTTCCTTAAATGCCAGGGGCAAGCCAGGGTTTTGTGAGGAGGAACTGGATGGTGTTCTGGGTGTCAGGGTTTGGGATTTCCTGCTCAGGGATGGGCAGTTCATGGCATCCCCTATGGTTTTGTGTTCACCTCTTGCTCCAGAGCTCTCCAGGGATGTGCA